TTCTACTCCTTTTAGAATAATCCTAGAAATGTTACAATAACTTTTTATTATGGACATTTAAAAATATATCCAAAAATAGAGATAACATTATAAAATTCCATATACTCATCCTTCAAGAATTGCTCCTTCAGGGGGAAAAATAAACAAGGAAAATAAGAGAACCTGGGACTGGGCTATGGGGAATACCATTTAAAGTTAAGCCATCAAAGGCCACCAAGAAGGAGTAGCCAGGACAAAAACCAAGAGAAGGTAATGTCACCAAAGCCAAGGCATTTGGATTTGGCAGGATGAAGGTCACTAGAGACCTTGGCAAGAGCATTTCAGTGGAACATGTGAGCCAAGCCTGCTGGAGAGTGTCGAGGAGTGAAGACATGGAGATGGTGACAATAGAGCCATCTCTTTGTAAAGGTTGTGCTGTGAGAAGGAGGGCCACTGGCAAATGCTCCAGTCTGGCACAACTGAAGGATGCACACTAAGGCTACAGCTCTGCTTCTCCTAGATGAAGTCAGTGGAGACATTTTAAACTTTAAGGACCTTGCTGCCCTGCTCCAAGATGAAGGTGAGACTCTGGAAAGGGGTTAGAAAAGATAGAGATAATGATGGGTAGAAGAAAGAGGGAGAGAGATCCAAGGAGAGGGTGGCCTCATGGACACCCATGTAGGCTAGGTGGACTGAGAGGTGATCCTATGGGAAGAGTGAAGAAGTGCGTGGCATCATTTTCTAGATTCTGTTTGTGTATGTGAATCTTTAGAGGTTTTTTGTCTGGTAATATGGACCATTAGCTGCACATTCACCCAGAGCTTATGGTCCTAATTAAAGGGACCTGTGTATATCCTGAGGAAATACACACATGCATACACCCACATACACACCCAAACACAATCAGAAGCGGAATCTATATTCCACTGACATGCCTTGGGCATTTCTTCCTGCACCCTTGTCTTCTCCATTTTCCCAGCTAAAAAGCTTGTTCAGGGGCTGTAAACTCCTAGCTACAGAGTCCAGGGTAACACAAATATGTAATGTGGGCTGCGTGTGTGAAGTTAAATGGCAACAGACACTCGTCCTCTGTGTCAGGAAGACACTGAGGGTGCTAAGGACGGACTGTGGTGCACTGGAGGGAGCTTGCTGCTCATCCTAAGAAGGTAGCCACTACCCAGCTCCATTTGTTGCTGTATTAGTTTCCTATTGCTGCTCTAACAAATTACTACAAACTTAGTAGCTTAAAATAACACAAAATGTATTATCTTACAGCCTTGGAGGTCAGAAGTCCAAAATGGGGGCTGGACAGTTAGCTCAGTTGTATTGTGGATAGCACAAAGGCCTGGGGTTCTATCCCTGTACCAGACAGCTGCCAAAAAATAAAAGTCCAAAATGGGTCTTATGGAACTAAAATCAAGGCGTTGGCAGGGTTACCTTTCTTCTGGAGATTCTAGGGGAGAAGCTGTTCCTTGCCTTTTGTATTTCCTAGAAGCTTCCTGCATTCCTTGACTTGTGCCCCACCCCTCCCATCTTCAAAGCCAACAACCAACCACAACACTCTGACCTCTGCTTCTCACTACTCCTCAGACTCTGATCCCCTCGCCTTCCTCTTTCAGTAACAAGAAAGCTTCTGACTATATTAGGCCCACTTGGATAATCAAGGATACTCTCCCCGTCTCAAGATCCTTACCTAAATCACACATGCAAAGACTTTATCCATAACATAGTCACAGGTTCTGGATATGAGGATGTGGACGTCTTTGGGGGGAATATTATTCTGCCTACCACAGTTGCTGAATGAGAATGCAGGCCCAATATGGCCAGATCTTCCCCTTTTCAAGATAAGCTAGAAATATCAATTTTTAAGGGCCAGCCCATGGCTCACTTGGGAGAGTGTGGTGCTGATAGCACCAAGGCCACAGGTTCAGATCCCTATATAGGGACGGCCAGTTACCTCACTTGAGAGAGCATGGTGCTGACAACACCAAGGCAAGGGTTAAGACCCCCTTACTGGTCACCTTTAAAAAAAAAAAAGAAAGAAATATCAATTTTTATATGACTGTGGAGAAGAGAGTTAACATAGCAGACCAGAGACTGCTGTCCTTACAAAGGCCTGCTTGCAAGGTTAGCCTTAGCTGGCATCTGGGAACATGGTTCTTGGAATGCTCCCAGTGAATAGTTAACTGATAAGGGTGGTTCATTGTGCCTAGACTGTTTGTGTAAACAATATGGTTTATACTCATTGCCTACTTTTCTCCTTGAAAACAGGAATTTTGGTATGTGCCAGGAAAAGATGCCTATGTGTCAAGTCCCCAATAAAAATCTTGGGTGTTGAGTCTCCACTGGGCTTCCTTGGGCAGAAACATTGCAGTGACAGCCTTATAACACCAAAGGGTTCAGATCCCTATACCGGCCAGCAGCCAAAAAAAGAAAGAAAGAAACATTGCAGGGAAATGTTGCTGCATTTCTATTTCAGAGGAAGAGTAGCTCTGTGTGAGCCTTTCTGGGAGGGACTGAGGGCAGATTCCTCCAGACTCCACCCATGTTTTTTCCCCTTATGATCCAGCTGTGTATCCTTACTACATTACTGTAACAAAAGTTAGCTGTGAGTACAACTATGTGCTGAGTCCTACGAATCTTTCTAAAGAATATCTTAATGGGGGGAGGTTAAGGGGATGCTCCAACATTATGACAGTTTCATATTCTAAATGCTATGGAAATTAACACTGTAAAAGCCAAACAAAACATTTATGAGAGGGAATTTGGCCTGGCTGCCAATTTGCAACTTCTGGCTTCTTAAGAGTTCTACCCTAATTTTTTTTTTTTTTTTTTTTAAAGAGGCCCGGTAAGGGGATCTCACCCCTTGGCTTGGTTTTGTCAGCACCATGCTCAGCCAGTGAGCAAACGGTCTGTATGTGGGATCCGAACCCTCGGCGGGAGGGCCGCCGTGCTCCCAAGCGGCGCACTGTAGCAGTGCGCCACCGGGCCAGCTCGAGTTCTACCCTAATTTTGGTCCCATCTCTAAAGTGAAACAATTCATCTGACACACACTAGCAAATACTTACTGTGTGTGCTAAGCACCATGCTAGGAACCAGGGACACGAAGATAAACAAGACACAGTCCTTACCTTCAACAGTTTGCTATCTAGTAACATGGTCATATACACAAATAACTACAGCATAATATGATCTATGCACTAAAATATGTGTGAGCAAAGTGCTCTAAAAAACCAGACAGCTACTTACACAGTGCTTTGCCATGTATGTACACATCCCTAAATTCATCTGATCCTCACCATCTGAAGTTATCCCAGTTTTACAAATGAAGAATCTGTACCTGAAGGTCAAAAAGGTTTAGGGTTTTGCCTAACATGGCTCAAGTCTCTTACTATATTCATTCTGCTGGGGTGGGGTGCACAAAAAAAACACAGGGTCAGGGAAAGTCTGCAAGAGGCCATGTGGCCTGTAATCACCAAGGCTCCTTCCTCCATACAGACCATGACCCCATTTCTCAAAGGGACCTCACTATGCCCCTGTCAGTTTTCTTTTTGTGAATGAGTCTTGTTCTCCCAACCAGATGGCAAGTCTACTGGGAAGAGACCTTCATATTTCACTGCATTCCTTTCCACGCCTTGCTTAAGTCAAGTGCCAATTAGCTATTTTGTTGATAAAAAGTTTCCATCACTAGTTATTTTATGGTATTGTATTGTATTGTCAGACAGCCCTGGCCCTGGGGAAACACAACGGCAGGAGAGGCAGTTGAATCCTTTCCAAGTGATGACTAGCCTGGGAAACAGATTTCTTAAGGATTTGCCAACCAGCCCATGGGACACTGTCTGATGAGTTTCTCCAGTGAAGGGAGACAGCTAGAAAACGTAAGGCCAGTAAGGGAAAGCAGAAGTAGCTTGAAAGGCCTGTTCTTGCAAAAAATGGAAATGAAATGAAGAAAGAAGGAATGGCTTCTGCTGTGGCCTCGGGGTGAGAGCTGAGGGCATTAAGACACAGGTCGCAGATCCTGCCCATGGCTTAAAGACAGAAGAGAATGGGAAAGTCAAAATCAGCCATGATATCAAGACCTCTATTTTCTTTTTTTCTCTTCAGAGTCAACAAACATTTTGATACCTCACAACCATGCTTGTAGGATGGAGTCACTGTCTCCTTTACACTGATGAAAATGTCAACGACTCAGTGCTATTAAGTCACTTGCCCAAGGTTACACGGGACAGTCTGGATGCGAATCCAAGTCCTGAGGGGTCCAGGTCCAGCGCTCCCGCGGTTCTGGCAGCGGAAAAGCGAGCAGGTGGCCATGACGAGGGCTCACTAATAGTGACGGCGCTGATGACGGGGACACTGACTGGCAGGCGACCAGCAAGCCGCGGCAGATTCCCGGGGTCGGCCCTCGCGGACAGGCTGCAGGGTTCAGAGCTGCGGGAGAGTCGAAGGCGTCGGCACCCTGGGGCTCAGGCTGTGCAGCTACCGGTCCTCGGCCGCTCTCAGCGGTCGGCAAAGGCCTGCCATCCCGCCCGGGGACCAGCAGGCGGCGTGCCGCTGGAAGGGGTGCCCCGGGGACTGGCCGGAACCACAAGGCGGGCCGGAGCTTCCAGGGAGGCGGGGTGGGGAGGACTCCCGCGAAAGCCAGCTGCGTCCACCTCTTAAGGACAGCCTCGACCGCACCCGGCCTAAGTCAGAACACCTGGACGACCGGCGCCCACATGACGCAGGTGCAGGCGAGACGCGCCCTGTCACCGCACCCCGCGTCCCTGCTGCGGACCTCCGGAGACCGGAGTGTCGGCTCAAAACGGGGAACGAAGGGTTAAAGCCTGGGTCGCTACTCCTAACGCGAGCCAGACAGGTGAGGGACAAGGTCGCAACCGGGGGAAGGGACTCGGCCCGGCCCCGTCCCCGGGACCGCCCCCTCTCGGGGGCGTGGCCGCCGAGTCGCCCAGCCCCTAGTGGGCGAGCGCAGCGCGCGTGCCCCGCCCCTACGTATATAAGGGCGGTGCGGCACTGCAGCTAGCGCAGTTCTCACTGAGACCCGTGACCCCGACTCTACGTGAGACGCACCGCCCGGACTCACCATGGTGAGTGCGGCCCCGGCAGGATCATGCCCGCCCCCTAACTGTGCCTCTCCTTCGAGGGGCCCTCCAGAGATGCTCTGAGCCCTCCACCCGGCGTTCCTGGTCTCGAGGATGTGCGCGGGCTTTGCATCATACCCCGCTTCCCAACCCCCTCCTGGTGACTTTGGCCAAGCTGTGTTGTTCACCTTCGGAGGCTGGGGATATGAGGGAGCGGGGACGAGGTGGGACGGGATTCTTAACTGGCAGTGAGGAGCCCTCCTGGCAGTCTCCTCCTCCCTCACCAGGCTTGGGCCCCAACCCTCTTGAGGGGAGTCACTCGGTCTCGCGCTCAGTCCTTTCCGCAGGCGAAGGAAGACTTGCTTGGCTGACCCCCCCCCGCCCCCCCTCCATCCCCCATCC